GGTATCACCACCTGCTGTTCCAGGTTCTCACAGCAGAGCAGGAAACAAAGCAACAGGGTGTCCCTTCAACACCCAAACAAAGCAACCTGGCATGACTGGGATGGAGTTTGTAGCAGGAAGCACTTCCAGAAAAAATACATTAGTTACCAGACCATCAAGAGGTCACATGTAAGAACAGCTGGGAGACCATGGACTGGGCACTGTGATGGCCGCTCTTGAGTGTTAGCTTGACTCTATGTGACATCAGCTAAAAACCAGGCTGCTAGACACTCTGTGAGGGATTTCTTATCAGATTATTAGAGGCAGGAAGACCCACCCTAAATCTGGGCCACACCTTCTGCTGGCAAAACACATGCAACAAGGTAATTGTGCTTTTGCTGAGAGAAAGACCATGATGAAAACACTTGAAGGTGTGTGACTGTAGGCTGCAAAAAGCAGGAACCTAGATAATACTGTGTAAAGTAAAGGACAGCAGACATCAAAGGTAACACACCATGTGATTCCTTTTATTTGAACCATACATATTAGGCAAGTCCATAGACCCAGAATTCAGACCATATACAGAGTCCATTAGATGACTTCCTGGTGCACCTGGAGCTAATACATGGCATGTGGCTGTTGAGAGATAGGGGAGTGACTGAGATTGTGATGTGGCCTCCAAGTCTCTCTGTTCACACAATCCCTTGATTGAATCCTCCAGTACTATTCACAGGAAGAACAGCACACCTCGAGATTTGGAGAAACTGCAGTAAGGTGGAAGAGGTGAGGACAGATCTAGGGCCTGGTTCCCATCAGGTCTCTCACAGGCAGAGACATGGGCGGGGCTATTGTAACAGGAGTAGAGACACCTGGCCACCTCAGCCCAGTCATCGGGACAAGAAGCAGATCTGGTATTCTGGGGGCACTCTGCCAAAGCCACTCTCCTTTGGATTGAGGTCAATGTCCTTAGGATCCACAGGACTGGACAAGGAGAAGTTCTGGAGGATGGTGGTGAAGAAAAGGAACAATTCCTTGCGGGCGATGCCTTCTCCAAGACAAATGCGCTTTCCTGTGGGCACAGAGGATGAGCCATGTGAGCACCAGGGCTGTGTACAACCTTCAGACTGTCCCATCCCTAAACCCAGACAACTCTGCCCATTGCAATGAAGAAGAAGGTTTGACCCCCATCCTGCCATTCCAATGACAACATTAAGAGATTCCCAAGCCTTAAAGAACTGGTTCAAGAGCCAGTGCCAAAGTCTTAGCATGGAAAGGAGCCTGCCATGAATCCTGAGGACATTGGTTGCATAACCTGAACCCACATGCTGCAAGGAGAGAAGCAATCCCCACAGTCTGTCCTCTGCCATAAACACACACCATAGCCCACATGGATATGCATACAACCATGTACAAATGGAATAAATTAATCAAAACATGTGTGCCTGTTTGTTGGTGGATGTCTTGTGGTCACTACTGACAGATTTCTAGCTTTTGCTGGATTATTGGAATCCTTTGTTCCAGATCTGTAAGACCCCACTTAGAGTAGAAACCAAGTGTGCAGGTGTCCACGTGTATAGAGCAACATCTTTAGTGTCCCTCCTTTCTTACGTGAGGGGATTGGTATCCATCTCATCGGGCTGCCCTGAGGGTGAAGGTACTGATTAGAAAACTCCTAGATTAACAACTGGATGGTGTTAAGGGTCCTTATGAGCCAGACATGGAGGCACGTGCTGTAAGAGCCGCTCTTGGGAGACTGAGCATTCAGAACAGCCTGGACCACACAGAAGGAGCACTGTGTGAGCATCCTTCTGCCTTTCCTCTCCCTCCCTCTGCTCCCCACCCACACTGTCCCCTCAACCCCTCCTTGTTCAGCTTGAGACCAACAAGTTCACAAACTCAATAGTTCCTACACTTGAGATGGACAGGGGCATCTGATAAGGGATCTGTGGCTCCATCTGGATTCTCAGGGGTGTAAGGAGCCCCTGTTGGGTTGTCACCTCACAGCAATGGGAGCCTGAAAGCCCAGGCAGAGGCTCCACCACCTGCCCTGTAACTCAGGGATTCTTAATCTGCAACTGGAAGCCTCAGGCCTCTAGAGGAAGGAGGGATTTTCCAGCAACGCCTGTGTCCTCCAGTTGTTGAGAAATTGTACCTGTGCATGGGTTCATAGAGAAAGAACACTATCTCCTAGGAATTCCATTTACAGAACAAAGCTTACATGAGCTCAGAAATCTATGGTGTAGCTCTCTGAGTTGGTTCTCCTAGAACTGGTTTTGTGACAAAGATTTTTCCAGAGCAGCTTTTAATGACTCATATCACTCTCAACACAATGTCCCCAAGCCTGAAGCTGGAGACTAAGACACCATTCCTATCTCTTTGGCTCTAATATCCTTTGGCCTGCTTGTTTGCTCACTCTCCTGCTTGCTTGCATCCCACAGCAATCTACCTGAGCCTGTGTCTGTATCTCTCATCGCTATGTGGCTTCCTTTTATCTCTTTTCTGTTTACTTTTTCTAAACTTCCTAGCTGACATCATAGCCCCCACCGCTACCATCTGAACATAACTAGTGACACGTTCCTTCATGTCATCTTCTCATGTCCCTGTTCTCCACATCACTGCCTTTCCAAACCTGGGTCTGTTATACAGACAATTCACCTTTATCTCACGCCCTACCTGTCTACAACTCTGAAGATGAAATATGAAAGGATCCTATTACTCTGGATAGAGCTGGAAGCAACCTTGAGCCCGGGGACACTGAAGTCACTTGAATAATCAAGACTAGACAATTCTTAGCTAAAACATAGCTTAGCAGGAGAGCACTTGCCTAAAATTCCTCAGTGAGGGGATGAGGACAGAGATCAGAGAGGCTCAGAAGGAGAATACAGCAGGGTAAAAGGGCCAGCCAAAGAAACCAACCAATCCCTGAGCATGAAATGTAGCACCCTGAACCAGAACACAGAGCAAGTGAAAGAAACACTTCAGTCCTGCACTTAGAACCTAAGAAACACAGCCTGACTCTGAAACCAGATTCAAAGAAATACACGTTGGCCCTCGAACCAGAGCCAGTGAAAAATTTATGCCCAGGGCCAAACTAGATCCAAAAAGCAAAAAAAAAAAAAAAAAAAAAAAAAAAAAAAAAAAAAAAATCTGCTGGCAAAACACATGCAACAAGGTAATTGTGCTTTTGCTGAGAGAAAGACCATGATGAAAACACTTGAAGGTGTGTGACTGTAGGCTGCAAAAAGCAGGAACCTAGATAATACTGTGTAAAGTAAAGGACAGCAGACATCAAAGGTAACACACCATGTGATTCCTTTTATTTGAACCATACATATTAGGCAAGTCCATAGACCCAGAATTCAGACCATATACAGAGTCCATTAGATGACTTCCTGGTGCACCTGGAGCTAATACATGGCATGTGGCTGTTGAGAGATAGGGGAGTGACTGAGATTGTGATGTGGCCTCCAAGTCTCTCTGATCACACAATCACTTGATTGAACCCTCCAGTACCATTCACAGGAAGAACAGCACACCCAGAGATTTGGAGAAGCTGCAGTAAGGTGGAAGAGGTGAGGACAGATCTAGGGCCTGGTTCCCATCAGGTCTCTCACAGGCAGAGACATGGGCGGGGCCATTATAACAGGAGTAGAGACACCTGGCCGCCTCAGCCCAGTCATCGGGACAAGAAGCAGATCTGGTATTCTGGGGGCACTCTGCCAATGCCACTCTCCTTGGGACTGAGGTCAATGTCCTTAGGATCCACGGGACTGGACAAGGAGAAGTTCTGGAGGAGGGTGGTGAAGAAAAGGAACAATTCGTGGCGGGCGATGCCTTCTCCAAGACAAATACGCTTTCCTGTGGGCACAGAGGATGAACCATGTGAGCCCCAGGGCAGTGTACAACCTTCAGACTGTCCCATCCCTAAACCCAGACAACTCTGCCCATTGCAATGAATAAGAAGGTTTGACTCTCAACCTGCAATTGACGTGACAGCATTAAGACATTCCTAGCCTGGCTTCCCGATAAGTCAGGACACCTTTGCAGCTCCAGAACTGTAACATTCACTCTCTTACAAGTATCTTCTAGAATGCAACAGGAAAGGCTGGAGGAGTTCGCTCTTTGAAGAGAACTTGCTTAACACACACCCATCCCTGGGTTTCACAGCTAGGGGTTAGGGGGCCAATAAAGGCTTAGGCATTATTTGTAGAACTCCACTTTCTCCAAAAGATAAGAAAGCTGAACACAAAGTTTTCATGTTTACATCCAATAGAGTCCATCAAAATGAAGTAAATTGGGCCAAAGGGAGCTTCTGTATGTAACTAACCAAACACAGCAGGCAATCGAGCTTCACACTAACTTGAGATTATGCTATTATAGTGAAGAACAAATCTCAGTCACTCAGAGCAGTTGACCTACCCCAGGCTGGCAACTATTCCAAAATGGCCAAGTAAGGTAAACGCAGAGCTGGCACCAATCAGGATGTATGTCCATGCCCAGCTCCCTCTTGTCTACAGACACTGTGTGCTGACACTGATGGGTGCTGGAACTCCGAATTTGCTCTGGTTCAGGATATTATCCATCATGAATGATCACTTGGCTCTAATGAATACTAATAATTTTAATTTTGATGTCTCTTAAAATTCAACAAAAGTGCAAACAGGGGAAAGTGTGTGAAGACATGCCCAATGTCACCAGTGCTCACAGCTAAAGTCAATGTCTCCCCAGCCATCAAGACCCTACCCAGTTCATAACACTGTGGATAGACAGTGTCAGCTGTTCTTGCTGCTGTTTCCTAAGAAAATGATGTGCTCAGGCTTAGAGGACTTTAAATACCTCCCCAAAGTCCTCCTGACCAGGATTCTCTTTTAGGTCAAGAGTCCCCTTGTGGACCTGTAGCCAGGGTGAACGATGTCAATATTCTCTGACTGACATATGCAGACAGTCACTTCACCAGTAAGACACCAGGAATGCTGGGAAACCAAGAACAGGCTGGTACTAGGATGGAGGAGAAAGCAGGAGGCTCATGGAGTAGAGATGTGGAATGGCAGCTGGTCTCACCTTGGGGAGCAGGTACCCGCGGAACAAAGTGTCTTTGGTGACTTTGTGTGGCACACCAATCGGGACAACATCTGAAAGTCTCTGAATCTCGTGGATGACGGCATCAGTGTATGGCATTTTGGTGCGGTCGTCAAGGGTTGGTAGGCGGTGGGAACCGATCACCTCTTCGATCTCCTTTTGGACTTTCTCTGCACGGAAGAGGGGAAGAGTGGATCTACTCTGCCAGCTTTGCCAGCAAGATGATGCGCCTAAAAAACTCATTGCACTTCTGGGAGCAAACAACTGTTTTGTTTTTGAGCAGCTTTCTATATATACCCGTGTTTAAAACTAAATTAAATTTCTCTTCTGTGAGCTTCAACCTCATTTCTGCCAGGTTTTTTAAAAAAGAAAGAAGAATACACAGGAAAGGGCTACTTTATAGGCACAATTTATAGCAATGGTGTTGGTGTGGCAGTGTGAGGGAGAAAAGCAGTAAAAATTGTCACCTTTGCAAGGAAACAACGTAGTTCTAATTCATTGTGTGGCTTAGATGAATGTTGGTGACATTGGTGGACTTCGGGATTTTAGTAGGTCATGCACACATACATATACATATACACACACGTGCACACACACACACACACACACTAAAACTTGCACATGCACCATAATTTTACATGAAGTTTTATATTAAAAACTCAAGGTTGTATCCTCAGGAATATAACCCAGAAGTAGGTAGATTAGCAAATGTTTCTATCAAGGAATGGATGTAAAAAAGAATACATAAGAAAATTAATGGATAAATCAGTTAATAAATGGACAGATTGAGGAGTTAAGGAAATGAACAGACTAAACACTAGATTATGTATTCAACTTACAAGGCAACACAAGATTGAATTAGTGGATAAATGGAGGAATTGATAAAGAAGAGAAAGATGAATTGAAAGGCCAGTTAGTGAAAGGATTAAGGAATAACACCGTTGACAGAAGGATACATGAGTTATGAATAAATCAAGGATGAATAATTTTTTTCAATTCTAATGATCAAAGGAAAAACGTAGCTGATTTGCTGAAATAAATGAATGAAATGTTTGGTTGGGTGATTGAAGGATCAATTGGACAATGGGATAGATATATCGTCGAGTGGGGGGTATTAAGGGTGTGTGAGTGTGAACGAGTGTGTGAGTGTCTGTGTGTGTGTGTGAGTGTGTGAGTGTGTGAGTGTCTATGTGTGTGTGTGTGAGTGTGAATGAGTGTGTGAGTGTGTGAGTGTGTATGAGTGTGTCTGTGTGTGTGTGTGTGAGTGTGTGTGTGTGAGTGTGTGTGTGTATGTGGGTAGATGGAAGGATGTTGAGTTACAGGTGTTTGGATAGATGGATGTTCAGATGGTTGGGAAAATGAAGGAAGGGATGGTGGACGGCAGGTGGGTTGGTGGGTGGACAGACAGGTGGGGGAATGAACAGAGTAAGTGTGGGTGAGACATGCATGGACGGAAAGATGAGTGAATAGACGGATGGAAAGATGGGAGGAAGGAAGGAAGGAAGGAAGGAAGGAAGGAAGGAAGGAAGGAAGGAAGGAAGGGTACATGGATGGATGGGTGGATGGATGGATGGATGGGTAGATGGATGGATGGAAGGAAGGGTGGAAGGATGGATGGAAGGATGGATGGATGGATGATGGGTGGATGGGTGGATGGATGGGTGGATGGGTGGATGGATGGATGGGGGATGGATGGGTGGATGGATCTCCTTTAAATGATAGGAGAGAACAATGGAAAACAGATCAGCTGAGGGTTACTTCACAAACCACCCACAGCACTGCCCTAGTTTAGTAGACCAAAGCCTTCAGAGTTCCAGATGGAAGAGGCTCATGTCTCTCTCGTTCATACAAACCTCCACAGCCAAGAGGAAGCTAGAAGCTCCCCCAGCTGACTTCCTGGGACGCACCTGCAACATGGGGGTATTTGAGCATGAGCAGGAAGCCATAGCGGAGTGTGGTGCTGCTGGTCTCGGTGCCAGCAAAGAAGAGAGACAGCACGGAGATAATGAGATTCTGGTGATGGAACTCCGTGTGTGAATTGGACTTCTCCTGGTTCCAGAAAGAGAGAGAAGTTGAGGGTGACTGGAGCCTTGAGGGAGATGCTCACACATCCTGGGCACTGTCCTTGTGTCTCACTCTATGGACCACATGACATTTCTCAGTCCCTGACTATGTCACCTGGTCTCTGTGTGTTCTGTCTTCTCTCTCTACTCTGCTTTCGGATAGTTTATCATGGTTTGTGTCCCAGGCTCTTTCTTGCTCTTTCTTGCTCTTTCTTCCTCTGTGGTCTTTTCTGCTTTTAGTTCCTGGTCCTGTGTTTCTTGCACAGCCTTCTTTCTCCCTATTTCATATTCTTCTCCCTTTTCCTTCCATCATTTTCTAGATGCTTCTGCATCTCCTCCACTCCATTTCCTGTCTCTCCTCCCCATCCTCTGCCCCTCATTTCCTCTGCTCACATCCTCAGCCCTCACTCTCTCATCCCCTCTCACTCATGCAGGACTTACCTTCTCCATGCGTAGAAGGTAGGTATCAATGAAGTCTCTTGGATTGCTGGCGTCCAATGTTGCCCTGTGCTTATCCACACTGTGGTCAATGTAGTCAAGGATTTCCTTCAGGTTTCTGTAGATTTGTTTGTGAGTACCAGGAAAGTATTTCAGGAAGCCAGAGAAGAGCTCAAACACCTGCAGGAAAGAAGGGTCCAGAAGGTCACCTGGAGCTATCAGGTCTCAAGAAGCAGGATGCGTTCCTAGGTTCCCATATTTCATGAGGATCCGCGCTCTCTCCTTCTAACCTCCCCACTTCCCTCCCTTTGTTTTCCTGCTCTCATTTCCTAATCTTCTCTTGCTCCTTCCTTTCCCTCTCATGCACAGGACATAGGGCATGCTGTCAGTGTGTTTCTCTGAATCTGTCTCCAGCAATTGTCCTGCATTCTCTCTCTCTCTTTCCTAAGGCATCTTTTTGTTTTGTTTGTGTTTCAATCAGGGTCTCCTGTCTTTCACACTGTCCTCAAATTCAATATTTATCCAAAGATGTCCTTGACCTCTGCTCTCAGATGTACTGGGATTGCTTATGTGTTTCAACCATCCTGCCCTATTTTGTGCTAGAGATAAACCCAGGCATTTATTAAACACAACAGACAAGTACTCTGCCCTCTTAGCTACAACCAGAGTCCCCAAGTCATCATTTTCTCATGTTTGGATTGCTCTGTATTTCTTCATTCAGATCTCCCACCCTGTAGACCACCTTCCCCCTTCCCTCCAGGCCTCAGGCTCCTGGCCTCTCCATGTTTCCCCATCCTGTTCCCCATCCCTCTGTCACTCCTGCTCTCACCCTCCTTGCCTCTCCATGTTGTCTCTGCGTTTCTTCCAGCCCTAGAGCACTCCCTTCTGCACACACAGAGCGGCCTCCTCTTCCTCTGCTGTGGATTTTCCTCTCTTCCCACCCACTGACCTGGCTGGAGAAGGAGCTGATGAGTGAGAAGCTGCGATAGAACAGTTCCAGCAGGCGCAGGAATTGGCGATCCTTGTAGTCAAAGCGCTCTCCAAAGACAATGGAGCAGATGATGTTGGCTGTGATGCATTGGAAGAGGAACTTGGGGTCCAGGGGGGCTCCTGGAGGATGAAGAGGCAGGACAGGAGACATGGCATCAAGTGGAATGTTTGCCATTGGCCCCATCTCTGTAAAGCTGTCCTCATCACTCACTACTGAAGTAATAACAATGCCTGCTACCTGATTTGCACATGTGATGCACCAGGTCTTGCCCTCAAGATTGCACACTCCAGTTTGTATAGTTTCCTCTCAATATTGCACATGAGATGCAATGCTATTAGGACACACAGAGACAGTAGCTAACCTCTCCAAGACAACACAGCTACTCATGACTGCGACCAGGATTCATACCAGGGAGGTAAGAGTGAGGAGAGCATGTGTAAGTTAGTCCCCACCCTGCACATCCTCCCAGGACAACTTTCTGACTCTGAGCTAACATAGCTAACTCCCACTGGTAGCTTGTGGGGATTTAGAAGTCTTTCCTCCATCCTCCTCTGATCCTAGACTCTGTGATGCTCCAAGAACCATCAGCGCTTGGTGCCTGCTGCCTTTGAATTCTCGGTTCCATCATGGGCTCTCATGGTTTGAGGGATGTCTGCAGTCCAGCAATATTGGGACACTGTTGTCCGTCTCTCTGGGTCTCACTTGTCTGTCGTCCCTGAGTCTCTGCAGATCTTGCTCTTGAGTTTGTCAGTCTTCATCTGTCTCTCTGATGATTTCCTGCATAAATGTCTTGCAGCATTTTTGTCTCTTTCTCTTCCCCCTCCTGCTACTACTTCCTCCCCCCCTCTACTCCTATGACTCCCCCCACCCTGTATTTTCTCTTCTGTTTGGTTCCTCGTGCTCCATGTCTCAGCTTCCTGGTCTCTGTCACTCTGCTTTCTCCTTTTTTCTTCTTTGTCCCTTGATTCTCTCTGCTCCCTTCCAGCCTCTGCATGGACATCTCAGAGACTCCTGAGTAATCTTAGGATGATTCTTGGAATAAACACCAACATGGAGCTGGGCATTGGTGGCGCACACCTTTAATCCTAGCACTCAGGAGGAATAGGCAGGCAGATCTCTGTGAGTTCGAGGCCAGCCTGGTCTCCAGAGCGAGTGCCAGGATAGGCTCCAAAGCTACACAGAGAAATCCTGTCTCAAAAAACCAAACCAAACCAAAACAAAAAAAAAAACAAAAACTCCAACATGTGAATGAGATACCAAAAACAAACTTGGTCACTAGAGTGCCCCTCCTAAGTAGTTTTTATAAGTGCCCAGAAGTGCTTTTGACTGCCACAAAGTAAAACCCCATCAGTAAAAACCACTAGAAAAACACCCAGTCATTGCTTCCTAATCTTGCCTTGGACACAGACAATGTTTTGAGACTATTTAATGTCATCAAGGTGGCCTTGTATTCCATATAAAGTCAAGGATGACCTCAGCATCTAAACTCCTGCCTCTATTTCACCTGTACTATGATGACCATCATGCTTCACCATGACAACATTATGGTGTTAGGCACCAGCCTGGGAAATGTGTGTGTACCGGGCAAGCCCGTTGAACCACAGTGTCAAGCACTTTTTAACCTTTGAGTCAAGATTTCATGATGTAGCCAAACCAGCTTTGAATTTATGACCCTCCTGTCTCAGCCCCCTGAGTACTGGGATGACAGGCTTGTGCCATCATGCCAGACTGACACCTATTCTTAACCCAGGCATTGATTTCCCTGGCTGTGTGTAGCCAGCATGGGATTCACTCAGTCTTTGTCTCTGGGTTATTCTTGGACACTGTCAACTTCATATCTCTTTCTCTGTCTTTCTGTATTTCTCCCCCCCATCCTCACCCCAGTGTGTGTGTGTGTGTGTGTGTGTGTGTGTGTGTGTGTGTGTGTGTGTGTCTCCCCTCTCTCTGCATCCTCTCGTGTTTTTCTCTTTCTCTGCCCATGTGTGTCTCTAGACTCTTTCTTTGGCTGTGTGTATGGGGAAATGCTTACCATGCCCACTTGGGCTGGACACAGGAAATGCTGACCATGCCCCCATGGGGCTGGCACAGGTGCCACTGACCATGACTGCTTGGGCGTGGTCAGAGTGACATAGCAAGGGTTTAAATATCAGAGAGGCACACAAGTGACCCTCTTTTTCCCTCTCCCACCTGGCTGAGTGGCCGAGCAGACATCCAGTGTAAACCTGGTCACTGGCTCCGTTGCCTGAGTACTTTCTTAATAAACTGTCTCTTATCAATCCAGTTCTGCCTCCACATTGCGTTTGGCATTGGCTGTGCACTCATGTTCCTGCTTGACCACTTTCCTTAACGCCCTTTCTCTGGGACTCACCCTGGGATTTCCGCAGCTCTTCTACCAAACACTGGGCCTCCTCCTGAATCCTCTCCTCCACACTCCTCTTTCCCCTCTCAAAGTCACTCACGGTGGCCAAGTCCATTCCAACTCATCCCAATTTTGTGACTCCTACCATAGTCCTTGAAGATAGGTTTAACCACTGCAATTGTCCCCCGGCCAGAGAAAGCCTCAGCTTGGTCCACCAGAGCTTCCCTTATGGCCTCTGTCCCATACAGCATGACCACGGGCCTCGGCCCCAGGTGCACTGTGAACACATCTCCGTATTTGTCTCGAAGCTGCCAAGCATAATGGAAGAAGGGCTTTGGTTAGTCAGCACAGTGTTGTTGCTACACTGTGAAAACACCTAGACACAGATTGAGAAGTAGGAACCCCTCCCCTGGCCACCCTTCTCCTTCTGAAGACCTAGCAATTTCAGGTTATACCACCAGCATGAAGGTTTTCATGGATGGTTGATGCCCTGAGCAGTACTACATTACAGTATGGCTTTGGGCATTGGATTTATACTGTAAGGCCAGCACTGGACAAGTAAATGAACTAGACCGGGAACTCCGGATCATCTCTTGCTGCTGTTGAGCTGGAGGTCAGCCTGGGTCTACATGAAACCTTGTCTCAAAGAGATAAACAAGTCATAGGTGTGATATAGGAAAACTGAGAGTAATGAATTGCAGCTACAGTGGAGTCAGAAGAAACAAACTTGCTTAGGAAATACTGAGTTGCACAAGGCAGAGTTTGGCTAAAGCATTGCTGCCAGAGTTCGGCTAAAGCATTGCTGCCTCTACTATGACTGGTGATAAGGAATAAACTCATCAGACTTGGTAGAAACTGTAAGAAACACTTGTACCTTGGATGTAATTGTAGTTAAGGTTTGCTGCAGTATAGGCTTCTGAGAACATATTTCTGTTAATATTTTTCTTAAGATTGTTGAAAATTAGGCTCCATTTCCATATCAAAGAACATGGTTCTGCTGGGTGGCTCAACGGGAATAGCACTGGGTAACAACCACCATGAAGTGATGCTTCTCCTTTCAGGAAGGTTGTGATCCTGCCAGGAGTGCAGATGGCACTGAGTGTGGAGTTTGAATAAGATTGACTCACAAAGGTCCATGCGTTTGAATGCTTGGTGAACAGGGAGTGGTACTATTTGAAAAGATTAGAAGGATTTGGAGGCGGGGCCTTGTTGAGCGATTGTGTCACTGGGGATGGGCTTTCAGATTGCAAAAGCCCATGATAAGCCCAGAGTTTCTCTCTCTGCCTAAGGAACAGGGTGTGGCTGTCAGCTACTGTTCCTGTACCTACCATGCCTGCTGTCATGTTCCTAACATGACAATTATGAACTAACATCAGAGACTATAATCAAGCCCCAACTGAATGCTTTCTTATACGTGCTGCCTTGCTCATGGTGTCTCTTCACAGCAACAGAACAGTGACTGAGACACGTGTAACATGATTCAAAAGGAACAACACTGCTCTAATATAAAAGTAATGGTGACAATATATCTTTGCTAGAAATCTCCATTTATTGGAAACAGCCAGAACTGTTCCTATCTGTATGACACATGTTTAACACCTTAAAGTCTAATGGAACCTGAAAGATATTTACAGATGACAGCACGTGGGGATTGAAAGGGCCCAAGATCTACAGAAGCTGTTAAAATTTTCTCTTTGAGGCGAGATTTTCTAGCAAGTTGGCCAGAATCAGATGTGCATCAGGAAAGAGATTTTTTTCCTTATTTCTTGGATGTTTGAAGTAAATTCTCACTGGTGAGGGGAGAGGTCTTAACCTGCTGCTTCAGATACAGATATTGATATAAACACTGGTAAGGATAGGATATGGATGTGGATAGATGATAGACAGACAGACAGACAGACAGACAGATGTGAATACAGATATAGATCATTGGCCATACCCTTCAGTTTGGACAGCTCTGGAATCTCAGTCCAGAAGCATGCTTCCTGTGGCCCAGCTTCAAGCTTTTCAATGCCTCCTGACAACATTCAAGACAATAGCTCTGACCCGCCCACTGGATTTGTGGGTTGGGAAGTAATTGTCATTTAGTGGTACTCAATGTCAGTCATGACTCCAGTACAGACCCTTGGGAAAATACCTGGCAATGCGACCATCTATGCATCTACAGGGAATTGGTCCCAGGAATATCACAACCCTCCAGCACTGAGAGCCCTCGAGGAGAATGGTGCGATATTTGCAAGTAACCCACCCTCATCCTCTTGTAGTCTTTAACTCATGCTAGATTGCAGCAAAGCTAATGGAAATGAAGGGCTATAAAAATGGCCAATGCCTGATGCTATTTATGAAATAGTGCTAAGAAAAGTTTCAATGGATGTGATATACGTGTGTTCATATCTTGAGATAGGATCCTGCTATGTAGGCCACCTGACTATGTAGTTTAAGTTGTCTCAAACTTGTCATTCTCCTGCCCCAATCTCTGAAGTGCTGGGGTTGCAGGTGTGAGCCACACCTAGCCCTGAGTGCATTTCTTTTAGGTATTTTCAGTCCACAGCTGGTTGAATCTGTGAGTAGAGAATCTGCCTTTATGGACAGTCAGCTATAATTTCTGAAGCAGATTATAAACTTAGACAGAAACTTCACCTCCAAGTGCTTGCTTGTACAACAACAAAAATGCCTACACAAGTTAACCCAATGAATGATCCAGATTATCCTAGAAGGAAGCCTTCTTAATAAAACATTACACAGAGCACACAGCGTTGAGTCCACCCCAGGGAATCTTGTGCATCAGTGAAATAGCAACCTGCCTATCTGATGAATGATATGAACCGTCACCAACTTAATGTTGGCACGAAAACAACTTCTTCTTACTTTTGCTGTTATCTAAATGAAGTTTGAACACAGGTCAAGTCAACCCACCCAGTCAGTATAGGGAGAAGGAGTAACCGTAAGTCATAAGACAGGGGCCAATTTTAATATGGGCTCATCTGCATGACAATGACAAGAATGTGTTCATTTTGGAAAGTCACTGAGCTATGATCTTTTGGAGCAGTGGTTCTCAACCTGTGAGTCTTGACCCCTTTGGGGGTTGACCCATCCATTCATGAGGTCACCTAAGACCAACAGAAAACACAGATATTTACATTGTGATTGGCAACAGTAGCAGAATTACAGTTATGAAGTAGCAACAAAAATAATTTTATGGTTGGG